TTGCACATATATTTTCCTTTTTTTTTTTTTTCCCCTTCTGTTTAAATGGATTAGTTCTCACCGGTGGGTTATCGGGCCACAGCTCAGACAGCTGCCATACAGTAAAGATGTGGCTCTCCATGGCTCTCACAATGCATCTTGGAAAGTGTCTGTGGAAGCTTGAGCCCCATGGGAAGGGGAAGCTGCTGCGATCCTGCACTGCATCACCCCTAAAACACCCTGACAGATGCAGCTCAGTCTGACTGACTTGCAAGAAAATCCTTTATTTCCATGGAAAACATCAAAGTAGAAGCATTCTGGCATTTCAAACCCATCCATTCTCAGAGTGTGTAATCCAGAGTGTGTAATTACCAAATGGTAATACTTTTATTTTAAAGTGGGTGTTTTAGATTATTCCAGCGTGGAAAAGAAAGCCAGTGTTTGAATGACTGGACTTTACTGTGGCATGAAGATTTTGGTTTAACGAGAGTTTGATCTGTTTCTTTAACTTGTCTTAGGTTACTGTCCAGTGTTTGGACATTTCCCAGACTCATATCCCTACTTCTCACAGTTTCTAGCCACTCTGTGCCTTTGAAGTAAATCCATATTTAATGCATTTTTATTTGATTGATAGATTCATGGATTTTTAAGGCCAATATAAAGTGGTTTGATCTTTTAGTCTAAAATCTACTATAACACAAGCAGGACAGTGAGTCACTAATTGCAATGTTGATGTAAAGCATGCGGGAGGCTATTTCCTTCCCATGTCTCTAATAAGTAATTTGGTTAATTATTCCCATTCTTAAAATTTAGTTTGAAGTTTAGCTTCTGCTTCTAACCACAGACTTTGATGGATTTTTTCCTCTCTCTAAAGGCCTGTCAGAAATCTTTTCTCCCTATAGGTATTCATGACTTGTTGAATAGAAAGATGGGATGAGTTTTGCCAGTCATGACTAGCATGATAGGACATCTGCATCTTGGTTTCCATTCCCAGTCTCTGAGTTTTCCTCTAATGGAAAAGTCTGGCTGCGTTTCACAAAAGAAGTTAAACAGGAAATCTTTCCACAGAGCTTGGCTTCCAGCCACCCTGGGGTGGAGTAGGAGCCCGTTTGCTCTGAAGCCCCCTGCGATGACTGGCAGTGCCCTAGAGAAGCGTTACCTGTGTTCCTATGAGGACGTAAGGCACATTGGGCATGCAGACTTTCAGCTCGGGCACCCACTCCTCCTGGACATTGTGGTACGAGGCGGGGTTCACCACTGAGAAGCAGATCAAGAAGACGTCCGTGTTGGGGTAGGACAGGGGTCTCAGCTGGTTGTAGTCCTCCTGCCAGGGGGAAAACAGCAAGTGTGTTATGGAGTGGAAAATAACTGCAGATGGAGTCATCATGTTGGCTCTTGATGAACTGCTCTACAATGTCCCTCCATGCCCATCCATGCGTATGACCTCTGGGGAGCTGCCGAGGGGGAAATCACCTCTTGCGGGCCAGGGGTGCTATTTTGACAGCATCTTTACCCAAAAGAGCTAGTGCATTTGGTTTGTGCATGTGTTATTGGTGGTGATACTGGTGTAGAGGGTAATGCTAAACTGTGGCCGCCACTGGTGGTATAACAAAAATTGATCTTGAGGCTGTGTGTACCAGCCTCAGCCCTCCAGCAATGCGATACCATCCTGGGAAGTATTATTTGACTGGCACTGCTAGCTAATATTTGCTGATGACACATGTCTCCAGGGGCTTTTCTGTTAATTTTATGGACTTTTTACTCCCCAGTAGACATCACAGACATGACCATATACAACAAATACGGTCTCTGGGCTATTTGTTGCCATTGCAGTCAGGCATGGTACGCAGCAATGTGTCAGTCAGCAGAAGACACTCGTCTTGAAAGTACAAAGCAGGTTGAATCCACTTTGCAGTGGCTGGGTAAATCTCTGGGAGTTATTTAGTGTTTCCACAGGGCCTCAACTGGGGAAGGATAGTTGTTTTCACTATGGGCTAGTTGGGAAGAGGGTGACTTTTCAAACAACTCAAAGTGCAGCTGTGTGATGTCATGAGCTGGCTTTGATGGCTGAGTTTCAAGGAAGAATTTAAGTCTGTTTTCAGGCTTGAGACGTTGAGAGCGAGCAGAGGTTTTCCAAGCTGTGTGAAAGGGATAGACTGTCTCTTTCTGATAGTGGGAGCATATGTAGCTGGTGGGTACTTTTCAATGAAACCTGTTGGAAAATTTCAGTGCAATGAAACAGATGCTTTTAGAGGGGATACACCTGTTCTGAAGACTTTTTTCGGGGGGGTCCAGAATTAAAAAAGGAGAAAGGAACATGAAGTGTGGGAAACAATAATACATGTTGCTGTCAAGACTGACTGAGGCTTGGGTCTTTAGTTTATAGTTTCTGCATTATGGGTGAGCCTCAAATCTCTGCAGTATGGTTGGGTTTGGTTATGACTGTATGAAAACTCAACAGGTGCAGTTTTGCTTTGCAGATACTGAAATAGTTCACAACTCAATGAAAAGGAAAAAGAAAAAAAAAAAGGAAGATATCCAGGCACTGTTGCTCAGACACTGCTTTACACTGGTAAATCGTCTTTCCGAAGTCTTTTGTATCACTGAGTATGAGGTGATAAGGTGACCCGGACTACTTCTGAATTGACACCAGTTTCCGGGAAATACTAATGGATTATGTAAAAACAGTCTGCTCCCACCTTTTCTAAACAAAAAACCTTAATTATTTATTCTGAAAGGAAGTATGAGGCCAAATTTAGCTCTGTCTCATTAAAAAGAGACAAGATGTTTCTTTAAACATCCTAAACCACAAACAAAACATTTTGTTTTGTCTAACTGAATGTTCGTTGTCCCAAACTCAGTTCAACAGGAAGAGCACGTTCCCAGTTACGACCTCCAGCCCCACAGCCGCAATATTTGGGGTAAAAGCCAGAATATCTGTCAACTGACCTATGTCTTTCCATTGTCATAGAAAATATTGATCTGAAGAAGGATTTACAAGACAAGAGCAGGTGTCTGGACACATCAGCCCCCAAGGAAGAGTGGATTCGCCATGTTCAGGGAACAGCAGGTAAAAAACCTCAGAGAAATTTGTGGGAACATTAGTGATACAGTAAAGGAAGAGGTAAAGTGGTTGGGAGGAGATTTATACAAGGCTCTGAAGATGACACCCAGCTCCCAGAAGATGAGTTAATAGAGGCAAAGCGGATGCCAAGATGATGGGATCAATGGAGCAGATGAGTTTTACGTGGATGCTGTGAGTTAGGAAGGCCTGGCCTGGTTTTGGGACATTATTTTAACCCAGGACACCAATTCTGAATTTAAGTATATTTATGCCACAGTCAACACGGATTGATACTAGGCGCTTGACAAAGGCCTTTTCTGTGCTTTTGGTTTAATTGCCGCAAATCAGCCTCCTAAAACAGCCACGTGGTGGCAGCAAGCCCTTGAGGAATCATCCTCTAGGAGTTTTGGAAAGAAATTGGCTAAGTATAACCAGTTTCAATATTCCAGACGTGCGTATTTAGAAGGGCTAGAACTTACTGTACCATTAAAATAACAACCTAAAAGCCACGAGTGCTCTGCCTGGCAGTGACAGCTACAGGAGTGTGCATTTAATTTTATTTTCTTGTTCCTTCAGAGCCCCTAGAAAATCCTTTTTCAGGAGGAGCGTTAGCAGCACAGAGCATTACATAAAGCATAAGGAGGGACGGCCATGCACCACGTAGCAGAGGTCTCATCTCCTCTCAGGGCACGTGGGAGCTTGCGTGGACACCTTAAAGCACAAGCACAAATGTAATGGGTAAGAGTTGATGGGGCTCCTGGACATGCCTGTGTCTGTGGTCTAGCAGGAGCCTCCAGACCACATCAGACAAGGACCCTGTCTCTGTTTGTACCTGCTCTCCAGGAGAAGGCTATAAAACCTTGCAATGGGCTGTTACAAGACGCGGCGCACCAGGATCATTTCTCATTGATGAATTCTCTCACTGATGAGAGACGGTTGAGGTGAAGCAAATAATTAGTGTGAAAAAAGGACTGGACACTTGCATGGGGATGGGGCACAGCCAGGGGTGCTGCAGCCAGTGACAGTGGCATTTGGGAAGGAACATGAGCTGTAGCTGATTTTCCCTAGTTCGAGCTTGCATTTTGCTGCCTGTTATTTAGGGAGCACAAGGCTTCCCAGTTATACTCCCTGGCCACTGGTTAGGCATGGAAATGCCAGCGCCAGATCTGTCCTTGCTGAGTTACCCACCTGTGACTTGCCAGAGCGGAGACATATCGACTGGTGTTGCTCCCTCTGCACTTCCTTGCTAGCATCAGCCTTGCAGCATTTGGGCCCAGAAAGTACAGCAAAATTTGCTTTTTTTATGGTGCTGCCGTGCTGATCTCATATACGTTCCTTTCCATACCAGTCTGTTAAAACACTCCGCACTTGAGTCCAGCCTGGGGCAAAAAGACCACTGTTTTTTTTTCCTCCTAGGACTGTTTGTGCCAGGGATACAGAAAACCAGATACTCCAGATCTGGGGTCCCTGCCAGCTCTCCCTTCAGTCTGACAGAGGGTCCTGCTGCAGGAGCACATTTTCCAATTGTTATTTCATTAGCATATGTTTTATAGCATAATGTCAAGTGCTATTTTTGGCTATGACTTCACACCGATGCCTTTGGAAAGCCATGCAACACAAGGAGAAGGAGGGAGGAAACAATCCAGATGATCTGTCGTTATAGCCTGAGCGTGTGGGAAGCATCATCCTTTCAGCCTCCATCTAGTTGTCAAGTGATTAATGCTCTTGGTTTTGACTAGATGGCCACGTCCTCTGGACCAAGGTCTGAAAGGGAAATGAGCCTGACGAGTTAGAAATGGTGCTTGGAGGCAGGTGGTTCTTGGGCTGGTTTAAAGCAGGAGATGGCAACCTGAGTGTGGAGGAAGGGATGGAGGGGTGAAATTTGTCAAACAGACAGATTAGTGTTTCTTCTGGCTCAGGAAGACGAATAAGAGGATGTGTTTCTGGGGAAATGGGTGACAGTTGGAACTGTCAGCCCTACAAAATAAGTAGAAATATTAAGGCACTGGCTAAAATCTGACTGAGAACTGAATAAAACTCCAGTCTCATTTGCGTTTGTGAGTGAAGAATAGAAAATTGAACATTCATCGAACATGGGACAAAGACTTGGGTCATATTTTGGGACTGGCTTTTGGATCATCTATTTGCACCACATAAATAAAAAGGTTGGGTGGACCAAGGCAGTGAGAACTACTGTCTCCTCCTCTCCAGGGTGTGGAATCAGGCAACAGACCAGAGCTGTTCTGCAGACTTTCAGTCTGAGCACACTGTAGCCGACTGTGGATAGTGGAAACAGTAAAAACATTATATATGTAAGTAAGCATGGGGTACAGACTCTCTTGCAATGGACACCCTTGTCCTGGGAGAATGATGTTGGGATGGATGCCAATCTGGCTGGGTTACCATTTGAAAAGTTGATAGCTGGTGACTGATAGGCTGGTGTTGTGTTATGTTAGTTTTCCGATCTTGGAAACGGGAATTCTTCTCTGTATCTTCAATGCCACCATGTGGTAAATGTAAGAAAACACTGACTTCATATGAAACGTCATTTTTGCAATAGGAGGTGGATATATGGGAGGCTGAACAGCCTAATCGGGCTTCAGTTTTTTTCTTGAACAAAATTCAGTCTTAGGGAGGAGTGTATGTGTGTGTTTTATTGCTGAACCAGAATGAAAACTCCATGTAGAAAACAAAAAAGCAGAAGGTCAGCAGTTCAACTGTTACAACTCACAACTGATTGTTATTATTTATAAAAAAGCCCCCACAAACAGCACAAACCCCAGTATATGATAGTAACAAACAAACCATGAGAAAGGAAAATTAAAAATGTTTTTCAGTAACTTACCTGCCCTGCAGTGTCATAAAGTCCCAGCAAGTGTTGTTGTCCTCCCACAGTCACAGTTACTGGAAAAGAGAAACAAGAAATGTTGTTTATGCACAAGCCAGTGGCCTCATTTTTACGTGTTTTAATCCTAAAATGCCAATAGACCCTTGTGCTGGACACGTTAGCACGTGTCTTACAATGTGCATCCTAAACCAAGCCCATCTATTCAACCTGAATTGAAGGCAACATAAAGTCACAACAGAAGCGAAAGCTTTGTGCCAAGCTCTTATTTCTTCGGAGACAGCCAAGAGAGATGAGCTGCACACACCGCTGCTATCGGGGACCCAGAGACCAGGGAACATTTGCTCTTGCCCCTGCAGCCACCAGCTGACCCTCCATGAGGTGCTAGGACTTGAAAGCACAGAATTCCTGCCTCCTCACCATGAGTGTTGAGGTAGGTTTGTCATGGATCATCGAGAGGGCTTATTAATTAGTTTCTTCCAGGCTATGAAACGATGAAGCAGTGGTTGATGGCAGTGCTTGATGTTTAGTGGGGTCCAGTGGAGGTGTGCTGCCTCTTGGTCCACCTGTCCTGTGCCATGCAGTCACAGGTCAAGTGGCAGTGCTTAACATGTGGGGCTCTGTGGTGGATGCCTCAAAGGACGAGGAGGAAGAGGAGCACTAATATTGTCAGAGATGTTGAACAGATTCTGTTGCAAATGAAGGATACCATGGCTTAGCTTATTGATCACATTCAACATGTTTACTCCTTTGGTGGAATTCACTCTGAACTTCATTTTGAGCCTGTTGACATTGATGAAACTGTTTTCTCATTGTGTTTGGATGAGCTGATCGTTATTAGCTGATCTCTGTAATCAGTGTTATTTTGCATAAAGGGTATGGTCGGTGTTAATGACATTTAGTTAACCAGTTAATCTGCTTAAATCATTACTGCCCGACTGGCAAGAAAGGAGGGGAATCCAGTTCCACTCATTAGTCAACAGGAAGACTTTCAACATTTATCAGGAAAGTTGCTCAAAATAATGGTATTCTCGAAGCCCATGGACTATTACTTTTTTAAGCACAAGGGCAAAGGGCTGGAACAAACACAGAGCTATGGCTGGGGTGGGGGGGAGGGCTAAGACTGGTACCTGTCAGGTGATCACAACATGGAATTAATGAGGGCTGGGCAAGCCTGATAATTGCTTTTGGCAAGGAGAAGGCTTGAAAACACCGCACAGGTTCTTACTGATCTTTTTTAAAGTGATAAGAATTTTGTAGGAGAAAAGCACCTACCAGTTTATAGAAGTTAATAGCTCCTGCACTGGGGAGCAATGTCCTGTTTGAAACCTCTTAGACTTGAAGAGTCCCTGTCAGAGTGGCTGGACAGACTGATTATTCAGCAGCTTTTCTTGCTTGCAAAGCGACACAGTAATTCTGCTAGCATATAAACAGAACAAAACTGACATCCTGAAAGTACAAAGGCTCAGCGAGGACCAGACTTGCTGATGAGAGCAGGATGGGCCACGCTCACCCGCTGCTGGGGCTGCCTTGTGAAGTACAGGAAGGCGAGGAAGAGGAGATGGGAAAGGGTCCAAGAGCCCTCCTCCCACTCCTCAGTTCAGGACGTAGCTCATATACAGTCCAGCTCTCAGGGGAACTCAAAATGGAGCTGGCTGTTGAGCACAGATGTCCATGGGTGCAAGAGCCCAGGGAGGAGGTACCAGGGTGGGGAGACGAGTACCAGCGCAGGCGGGAGTCTGCCCAGATGCCCCATCCTCTTCCTTCAACCCAACTTGAATAAACTGGTTTGAACAAAACCTTCCCAGGGCCCTGGTTTTCAACTTTTTGTGGTGTAGGGGGTCTCAAAACGTCCTGGTAGAGGTATGAACTGTGTAAGTCTACTGACAATGTGGTGGCTTTTCTTAGCTCCCTTCTCAGGAGCAGTGGGGGACACCGAGGCAGCCAGGAGGTGTGCGTTTTTTTCCAGTTGCAACCTGCCCCTGCACCAAGAAGTGCAGGAGCCTGACCTGTTCTACTGATTTTGCTCTGCTCAAGCACCGACTATGGGAAGACGTACCCTTGAGCTGAAGGCCGTTTCCCAGCTGTGGTGCATGAGCCATGCAGAGCTCAGCTGGCCAAGGGGGTGTCTGGGACTGCACACGAGCATCCATCGCACCGTCAGTCCTTGGTTGAATTTGGATGGAGTCTGTGAAGCACCCCCAAAGCAGGATGCTCATGTGACAACTGTGTGGCCATGGTGTGCGTGGAGGTGCAGGTGGTCTAATGTGTCTGATGAATGTGAAGAGGCGTTTGCCGTATGTTGGTACTGACATAGTTACCCAGCCTTGCCTCTCATGCTGGCTGAGTGCAGGCAGACTGAGCTGGGTTCTGCTTAAAAAAGACAGCTCAGGTCTTCAGGGCTGTAAAAACTTAAAAGTCGTACTGAAATTTACTCTGTCCAGGCTCAGGTTGCTGTGAAGCTTCTCTGGGCCATCTCTTGGTGGCATCTGACTGACAGAGCTACCCTGCCAAAAAGCCCTGGTGCGGGTACAAATTGCCGTGCTGTTCCAGTAGTTCATGTGATTTGGAGATGAGCTGTTGGGATAGAGGTCCAGTCCATTGCTGGCGTGCTGTGCTTTGTGGTCCATGAAGTCAAGGTGGTTATTTTGCAACAGGTCTGTGGACCACACGCTGAACAGTTATCGATAGTTTGTGCAGTTCGGTTTGGCTCTTGGTGACCTCTGGGAAATGTTGAGGGAGAATAAATAGGTCGGTGGTGTCCTGCCATTGCTCTCCACATACACCAGAGCAAAGAAACACAAAGGCTTTTGGAAAAATGCACCCTGAGTCTACTCAGATTTTGTCTTTTTTTTCTTTTATTTTTCTTTTTTCCCTTTTTTCTTTTGTTCCTTTTTTCTTGTTTTCTTTTTTCTTTTCCCTTTTTTTTCCCTTTTTTCTTTTTTTTTTTTTTTAATTTTCCATTTTTTTTTGTCTTTTTCTCTTGTCCCCATCAACCTTCATATTTTCTTTCTTCTTGTCAATTTTTCTAAACTACCTCATCATCAGAAGATATCTCTCCTATCCACATCACCTCTCTAAATTTACAGCCACCACCCCGGCAAAACTATCTTGTTGGCTAAACTTCAGCAACAGGCAAACTGTTGTCTTTGGATTCCTGGCTCTGAATGCAGTGGGGACCCGATGGCTTACACTGACATTTCAAACAATCACTAGTTCTTGAAGCAGCGATGTCTAGATTAATGTGTTGGTGCTGAAATTTCTACCATGCTTTCATGCAGGCAAAACAGATGTCAAAATAAATGGCTTTTGCCTGTGAAAACGTCATGGTATTTTTATACTAGGAGTTTATCTGTCCGCCTCTGTCAGGCAAAAGGCTGTTCACTGTGACCACTTGGTAGGTCACATTTATGAGCTGAGATTGGTCTCCTAGATTTGTAGGCCTTACTTTTGGCTTTATCTCACTTTACTTTTACTTACCCTGTTACTATGTTTTCCTGTTCTCTCAGCGGCCAAGCTTATGGGAAGCCAACGCGGAATTCCTTCCCAGTCACTGGGGGTAATGCAGGCTCCTTTATGGGCTTGTGAACTCGGCTTTATGAGCAATCTTGGAGTAACAAGGTAAATACAAGCTCTCCTTGCCATTTACTGGCCGTATTGATGTATCGATTAAGCACTGAAACAGCATGGCCTTTAACACCGAGTGCAGCAGGGACTGCAATAAAATGTGGCTGAGTACTCGCACAGTCCTGGTTCTCGTTTGGCTCCAGACTCGGTTGCATCAGACGATGTGATAAGGCAGACGTTTTCCTCCTTTCATGGGGTGGTTTTAACTAAGTGCAGCATCTGTTAAACACCCCTTTTAAAATGTTGGTTAGATGAAGAATTAGCTGAGTATTGCTTGCTAGAGTTAGAGTAACTATTTTGGGTCACCTCCAAGGCTTTGTCGTAGGTCTGCATGCCTGGGGGTTTTGCTAGTGGGCTTCAACACAGAGGTCTGAAACATGCTGTCCTGCTTGAAGACCACAGCAGAAAGCCAAGGTGCTAGACGGAGTTATTGTCTGGGGTGGATCTGGTGTGTGGACCATGAACTGGTCTGAGCTGGGAGCTCTGTTTCTAAATAAGTGATTAATTTGTGCTCCTGGGGACAATATGGCAATTTTTGTTGATGTTTCTGTTGCCCAGGTGGCCACAGATCCACCTCTCAATGATCAGTCTTTGGTAAACTCTTCCCCATTGTGTTTCATTTGCTCACAGCAAAACTTTAGTGGCTGTGGGACTCAATTGTTCCCTTGGAAGAGCCTTTCAGCCACACGACAGCGACGTTCACAGTCTGCACTGACAGAAAGAGGACATAAATTGTCTGCTGCCCTCCCAGAATCTCTTATCCTTGACTAATAGCTCAAAGCAACATGTAAGGCTATGGTATGACACCAAACTAGGATGCAATAGCTCAGACTAACTTAGCTGTGGTACAGGAGAGTGGATGTACACATCATGGAGAATTTTTCCATGCCTGTAAAGAAGTGCTTGCAGAACCAAACAACTGTGAAACCACTAGCCAGAATATAGACAATACCTTAGGCAACGTCTATTGTGGTACCACATGGGAGAAGTCATCCATTTATTCTAGTGCCTTCCTGCCAACAAACTAAGGTCCAGTTGCTTTGGAGAGATACCAGGAGCATGATAGCAGGCAGAGATGGCAACACCTGCCTGGATAGAAAGGCTTTCTCATTTTTTTTGGCAAATTAGTCTGTGTCAAGCCTCAAACTTTCACAAGAGCCATCTTGTGCCCTTGCCAACAACTCTGACTATTAAATTTGTGCATCCTTTTGTTCACTATGATGATGTGTACCAGATGCATGTTACTTGACACAGACTAATGGCCACTGGTATAAGCACAGCTGCAATTCAGGTTGGTTTACTGGCAGTAAAAACACTCAAGTCTGTTGTTTTTTTCCAGCTGGGAAGGAGGGTAAAATCGGGAAGAGGGACAGAAGAGTAGTTTTCGGTCAGCTGCAGTGGAGTTTCGGGTGGGTTAGATGGAAGTTTTGGGTTTTTACTGCTCTAAGGGATGGGTAGACACCTGACCAAATTTTTAATTTCTAGATAGAAAGCTCTTTAAATACGTGCCTTATAGCTTTCTTTTCACTTTCAAAGATGCTTGTTAATACAGGCCTCACTCAAGAGGGAGCAGTACTGTTTTGAACTCATGGCTTCAGCTTGTACCCAGTCTCACAGTGCTACTTCAAACCAAACTTCTTTGCTCCTGCATATATTTGTCGGGTGAAGCTCTGCATGAAGCTATAACTGGATCTGATCAATGTGTTAAATACAGATCAGATACTAAGGAAGGAGGATAGCAATGAGAAATAAACTAAGCACTGTTTTTGTCTTTAAAATACATAAGCACACAAACATACATATGTTTCATATATAATATATATATATTTCCAGTTTCTAGTTGAACAAAATTTTCAGTTGTAGAGTGAAATATCTTCTTGTGACTTATACAATCATAGAATCATTTAGGTTGGAAAAGACCTTGAAGATCCTCAAGTCCAATCATTAACCTAACACTGCCAAGTCCACCTCTAATCATGTCCCTCAGTGCCACATCTGCATGTCTCTTAAATACCTCCAGGAATGGTGACTCAACCGCTTCCCTGGGCAGCCTGTTCCAATGCTTGACAAGCCCTTTGGTGAAGAAATTTTTCATAATATCCAATCTGAACCTCCCCTGGCACAGCTTGAGGCTGTTTCCTGTTGTCTTATCACTTGTTACTTGGGAAAAGAGACCAATATTCACCTTGCTACAACCTGCTTTCAGGTAGTTGTAGAGAGCAATAAGGTCTCCCTTCAGCCTGCTTTTCTCCAGACTAAACCACCCCAGTTCCCTCAGCTGCTCCTCATAAGACTTGTGCTCCAGACCCTTCACCAGCTTCGTTGAACTTCTTTGGACACACTCCAGCACCTCAGTGTCTTTCTTGTAGTGAGGGGCCCAAAACTGAACACAGCATTTGAGGTGCAGCCTCACCAGTGCAGAGTACAGGGGGATGATCACTGCCCTAGTCCTGCTGGCCACACTATTTGCAATACAAGTAAGGATGCTATTTGCCGCCTTGGCCACCTGGGCACACTGCCAGCTCACATTCAGCTGTCAACCAACACCCCAGGTACTCTAGCTTGGGGCATCTTAATCACGCCCAGGACATTTGGAAAGGGGAAGGATCCAAATTCACAAAAGAACATAGACCTTATTGGCAAAATAATGGGTGAACCTCTCCATACAGCGTCACCTTGGAAGACTAGAGCACCTCCCAGGGAGATGAGAATGCAATGTCCTTCTCTTCAGGCTTCTCAGTATAAGAAGCAGCTGATATCACTTCTCCCTTGTGACTATTCCCTAATTCACTGCCATACCAACCTATAAAATCAGAACATTTTCAGCAATGCCAAAACCGTGTTCTTTACCAGAATAACTGTTGAGACATTCATATAAAGAATAGAATCCACCTGCAATTAAAAGTGGTGGTTTTTTGTGTGTGGTTTGTTTTGTTCTTTCCTTGGCCTAGATTTCAGGTTTAAGTTGAACTCTTCAGAAGGGGGCATTAGTCAATGATTTCCCCAGGGGGTTTTACTCCCTCTCTGATAGAATAATCATCTTTGCAAGGCATGATTCAAGTCCAGACTGTATCTTCAAGAACAAATGTATTGTCTGTGGACTGCAGCAAATGCCAGGGTGTCTCAGGGACCTCAAGTTCCTTCCTCTGGCATCTTTCAGAGTGATTTCTGTGAAGTGATCAATACACTGAATGTGGTGAGTTCTCCAGCACCTGATATCCCTGGGGATACTGACGATATGTTTTCTTGCTGGGTAACACTTTCCTTCCTTCCCGAGTATAGTTTTGTGAAAGCTTTCGTAATGAACTGGCAATCCCCCTCCCCTTCACAGTTGTGTGCTCCTCTCTGGCAGGACAGGAGTCCTTTTGTAGGAATTTGTTTGAAGTAGAGCAATTTTAAAAAATCTTGTTTATGATTTGTCTTCTTTTTGTACTGCATAGCTCCTAATTAAGGACCTCTGTGGCTGAAATGTGAAGATTCCTGTTACGTTCCAACTAGGGACTGAAACTCAAACATGCCTCAAAGA